TTTCTTTTTATTTATTATACAATTAACAAAATCAAAAAAAGGCCTCTAACACTAGCTTGCTCTATTCTTTGTCTATTCTATCGGTTTTCTTTTTATTATATAATTTAAAAAACACTTGCTACGTGTACTGCGTTAAGCTAACTGAGACTTGTTATAGCACTTGCATATCATTGCTCTTTTGTTGATTTTGATTGCTTCTATTGTCCTCATTAGTAAGTCGCTTTGGATAAAGGCATCTGCTAAATCACTAAATGTAAATATAGATTAACGAGACCAAAGACTGCCCACGAGATTTACCCAAAACGAATTATATCTCATGTTTAACCACTATAGAGACATCAGAGCCAGTGGCAAATCCCAGAAGATCTGGCTGAGGTAAGGCTGCTCTCGGCGTGTCCATGAGTACTGAACGGCCGCTGATGCACTGGAGCTCACATCCCCAAAAACATTGAAGTAAATTTTCAAATAGACGTTATCTCTAATAATAAACCGCATATTTATAGACTAAACAACTATATTTTTGCCTAAAAAATTCCTAAAACTACATTCCATGACACAAAACAGTATTATTTATAAAATTATAGTGGATTTGGGTGACCTGCCGTGCCATTCGTTAGAATGTGAGAAATACCGCAAACGGAGTGATACAAACTGTGAAACGGTTGTTGGAGTTCTGTTATCAGTCTAATATCACACTCTTATCAGCCAATCAGTTTTGAGGACCAGAAAGAACTGTTGTATAAATGTATATAACACATATTTTAACATGTTATTGTATCTGCTATACAATAATAGCCTATTTCAAAAGATTCAAAACTCTTTTTTTTCTTCGTTTTTTTATTTATTTAGAAATATACAGATATAAATGCGATACAGCCTGTTGGAATAACAACCATAAATAGAACAAAAGACAAGAAACAGCTGGATTCAGACAGCAATAAAATCACACACTGTCCCCTGTAAATGTTGAAAATATATCACTGTTAGATTGTGCCAACATCCTAATGACTGCTCCAAAAGCATAAGATCAAATCTCCTTGACAGGAATACCAGATCCTGTCAGTAGACATTAATTTTATCTAAAACCCAAAACCTGCAGTAACTCAAAGTCTTCAATCAGCCTGAGAGGATAACAGAGGAAATCAGAGAAGAGCAGAAAGCAGGAGAAAAATTATGATAAAAAGAACCTGAATAATCTTACTTGTGTATGTTTTGATGCACAGACTTCATCAACAAATGTTATCATAACTGAAAACTATGTAAAATTACCGCTTCACAACATCCTGGGATGTTAAAAAACCTGGAAATGGAGACATTCTCTGATCTCTTACGCATGACAAGACAAATATCCCTTAAAACCATGCAATCATTAGATAAAACAATATTACGGTTATATACATTCAGAGAAGCTGCTCTAAGTGTGTGTTTTCACAAAAAGTGAGCTGCTATACTGTCTATATGAGGAATTATTACACACATTTATTCTGACATGTTATTTCACTGAAAGAATTTCAGCTGCAGTATTAAGATCATGAAGAGAAAAGAAGAGACTCTATAACATCTCTCTGTTACTGATTCATCATGCAGCTCAAAGCATTATGGGTAAAATCTCTGCAGTCTATTCTGACTCATCAACACAGTTTCACTGATGATCCTTTATGAATATTAAACCCAGGATAGAGCGGCTGAGTGAATGTGGTCTGAAATGTGTAGATGAGGCTCATTGTGTCAGAGACGCTGTAGAAGGACAGAGTTCCTGCACTGTGATCCACAAACACTCCTATTCTACTGCTGATGTGCATCACAGGGAGACGAGTCTCTATGTTATTGTGTATGAATGAATATCTAGAGGGAGTGCAGAAGAAACTCCAGGACTGATCATTACGTCCAAACAAACACTCATCACCTCTCTTCCTGCTGATGCTCTTATATGACACTGATATAAACACACCAATATTTCCACTCCACCGCACCTCCCAGTAACAGCGTCCACTCACACTCTCTCTACACAACACCTGACGATACACATCAAATCTGTCTGGATGATCAGGATACGACTGATCTGTG